AACACTCAGATACTGCGGTGATAAGTAATAGTATAAACAGGGCCCTCACATGGCGGGGGGGCGGGGAGGGGGAGGGAAGTGTAGACTTTACCAGGGCCCAGAGGCCCTGGGGGCCCCAGCCTAGGCTGTAATCCCCATTACCATGAGGAAATTGAGGCTAAATTGACAGGTTTCAGAGTAGCAGCCGTGTTAGTCTGTATCCGCAATTGTGGGCTGTAGTCCATGAAAGCTTATGCTCTAATAAATGTGTTAGTCTCTAAGGTGCCACAAGTACTCCTGTTCTTTTTGCGGCTAAATTGTAGACCATGCCCAAGGATATTTATAGAAACTTATTTCCCTGTATCTATTGTCCAGATCTTGTGAGATTTGCTGGAGCTAATCAGAAGCACCCTCAAGCCACATTCTGAACAGTGAGTTGCTGGGCCTCATGCCCTTCTCTAGAATAGAGAACGTGCTTGTGCCGTTAAACTAGGACATGTAGTTTGAGACTGAGAAACAGAGACTTGTGCTCCTCTGTGTGACATGGTCTATCAAGATAAGAACTACCAGTCCCACAGTTCCTTGTGCATAGGCAGGAGGGAGGGACAGCTTGGGGGTGAGGGGGAAAGCACCATAAGACAGTGGGAGCCAGAAGCTGCTGCTTCTTCTGGTAGGATTTACAGGCCCAAAATATCTGTGAGTAAGTGTCTAATTCACTCCCAGTCACACACACTGAGGGTGACCAGATGTCCCGATTTTAAAGGGACAGTCCCTTTTTTTGGGACTTATTCTTATATAGACACCTATTACCCCCACCCCAGTCCCGTTTTTTCACAGTTGCTACCTGGTCACCCTACACACACCCCATACTGCCATGTCTGGTGGTGGCTCTAAATACAAATCAGGCAGCCAGAAACGTAAGGAGGTAAAAGAAAGGGAACTAGCCTCCAGATTTTCAAATCAGACAAGGCCTTTCTGCAGTCAGGCAACATAGTAACTAGGGAAGCAAAATGAACAAAATAAGACGAGAATGATTTCAATCTAGAGACTGTGTCTGTGGCACTGGCAATTGATGACAAAGAAAAGCTGCCAGAACATGCATCATGGGACTCCCATCTAATGCGTGAAGGTCGTCGAGTAGCAGCACGATTCGCACCACCCCCTTCAGAAGGTTCACAAGGCGCAGGAGAGAGTCGTGCTCGTGAGATTGTATGTATGGGTGAAGGATTGCGGTATGTGTATGTACATGTGTATGTTACATGTTTGTACTGGGCCCGAGAAAATGATGCTTGGGCCCTGAGAATAAAGCCGTAAGGAAGGTAACACAGGCAGCTGCAGCAATAATTAAAATGCTCAGTCTATCACTTCTCTCCAGGTTCAGATGTTGTATGAGACACTTTCTCATCAGGGGTTCACACTCGTGGCTGGAGACCGCTTGAAGTGAAATGGTCACCTAACACCTCTGCAGGCATAGCACAAAGGAAGGCACCACAGTATGTTACATCCAATTGTAATGAGCCATAAACCCAGTGATTCTGCTTGTTGGGATTCCCTCCAAGACCTTTTCCACTCAGCTGATCCAGAAGAGCTTGACACTTCATCCAGCTCTCTGTGATCCAAAAACCCACTTCTACTGCAGAGCTCATCACTCAGGTCCCGTTATTTGGCATACAGCAAAGCTACATTGAGTTGATCCGACTCAAGTGTAGGGGGTGACATACCACACATCCAAAGTTAGACAGCCAGCATCTTCCTTTAAATACATGATATATACACAAGTATCAGGGGGTAGCCGTGTTAGTCTGTATCTACAAAAACAACAAGGAGTCTGGTGGCACCTTAAAGACTAACAGATTTATTTGGGCATAAGCTTTCGTGAGATGCATCCGAAGAAGTGAGGTTTTTACTCATGAAAGCTTATGCCCAAATAAATCTGTTAGTCTTTAAGGTGCCACCAGACTCCTTGTTGTTTTTGATTATATACACACACATTACATTGCATGTACTATACATTGCAGCACACGTTTTGGGGTTGGCTTGGTTACTTTGCTGCATGCTCTGTCCAAGCATTGTCCACACTCAACCAACTCCTTACCTCATCTCTACATTCCTAACTTATCTTGTCCACTGTTATCTTGTTTGTAGTAAATGGGCATCCTTGGGTGTTCTCCCTCTTATCTTAGCTGGCTCAGAAACTTACTTATTTTATTTAGCACAGACATTCTGTTTAATGATCTGTTTACCTCCCTAATTCTATCCTACAAGAAATGAGACCTGCCTCCATGTGTTAATGACTCATGTCTGGCCAGGCCTCAGCTACATGCCCCTGCTTCTGTCTTTCTCTTTTATATTAGCAGTCGTTTCAGCTGCATCATCTTCCTCCCTTTCTGGGCTTTCTTTTTCAAGTTTCCCCAGCAACACAAACTCAAGACCACAGAAGCTGTACTTATTTGAACCACCATCAATATTAGCTTTAAGTACAAACCCCAGAGTGCAAGTTCACCTCCTCTGGGACAACCCACTAGGGGGCAATTCCACTTTATAAGCTTGCTTTGCTTTTAAAGCATCCTTTGGTGATTTTAACTTTGCTTTTATTTTAATGACAGTATGAAAAGCTGGTACAAAATATAAAAGTCTTTCCATGTATCACCCCAGGAAATTGAGGAGTGGAACAGAACCTGGGCCAACTGGAATAGCATTCCCTGGTCCATACCAGACACGATTCTCTTCAGCCATCACATAATACTCATTATCACCAGCATAGGCAGTTTTTACTTACCAACATCCCAGTGTCTCAACCACACTGTGCAATTTGGAGCCTGTTCCCCTAAAGTGAACCCACATGCCGGCAACTCATTCCACCTGCACTTGTAACCATCCCCCAGGGACAAACAGATGCACGAGTCTGGGACTTTCCAGACCTTGCATTGTCTTGTAACACTATTGGGGGAGGGAAAGCAAACTTCTTCCAAACCGTAGGAGCTGTAGCGCTTTCCACATTGAACTTCGTGGCATTGGACCCTTGTTAATTTTCTGACCCTGTGCCAGTTAGTATTACCTCCCTTTATCTTTTCTGGGGTGATAAAAGAGGGCAGAGCTTCTTTGTTCTATGCCACTTAAGGCCTCTTTTACTTTACATAGCATATATTTCCCATTTACTGAGCATCATTGGCTTTGCTTTTTACCTTTCATGATAGGAAATTAACTTTAACTTATACATTAAAAACACATTTACAACATCATACATAGAAAACAGTTAAAAACTCTTACTAAATTCATTCTTTGTTGACTTTCAAAATACAGTTAGAACCCTTGCTCATGTAATGGATACGGTATGTCTGCTGCTAGCTTCTGTTGAAATGCTCGGTCATGTTCCCACAGCATCTCTGTCAGCTTGGTTTCAGAGTGACTGACGTACCAGTTTCCCATGTCACACTCCCTCCAGTTTCATTGCTGTCTCACTGTGGCAGCCTTATGCATTTTAAAAGTTTACTTTTTTGTCCATAAAGTACTTTCAGTTGTGGTTTTTTAACCATTTTTAACCAAACCCTAGTGACTGCAGATAGGTGGAATTCAATAACAGTTCGCACATTCATAAACTATACATTATTAAACAACATTTTCTCAATAGATTTAACTCCAAACCATTAGTTGGATTTGTTTCCAATCTAGGGCATTTCAATCTTTTATATAATTGCTTCATTTTAATACAAATATTCTTTTTCCATTTACAAATCACTTCCATACAGGTTTTTACTTCCTAATCACATTTACTTTACACTGCAGATAAACAGAACACTTGGATAAGTGTGATAATGGTTAAGCTCCATTTCTTATATTCACTGATCTTTCTTGGTGCCGGGTTGGTTTCTGCTTCCAAAGTGCAGCACAACTCCTTGTGGCTCCTCCTTGGAGTCTCTGTAGGATTTTGTGTTGCCCCTTTCATGCTGTACACTCATGTTCTGAGGGAATGCACCTTCCTTCCACAGTGCAACCCTTACCCTTGATTTGCCATAAAATCCTGTTAGCTCCATGTCTGATCTATCAGGCCTCATCCTCAAAGGAGACCTGTACAACTTGGGAACCCCAATTCATAACGCTGCTGGACACTAAAAACCAGGGACTTAGAGACACTGGTTATATGGCTCATGACAACAATTTGTAAAACTCTGTTGTCTGCTAACCCTGGTTTGTCCTACAACTGCAGAGACGTTAATTGCCCAACATTGCATTTTAAGTGGTGTCCTGCATGTGTGACCCCTTATGCTTAACAATCCATCCCTTCCTGATCTTTAGCTGTGACACTCTGGTTACCTTCTTCAGAGCTGAGGAACAGCTCTGTGAGACTGTGAAACTCAGAAGTCAAAGGCTTGTTGTCCCCTGCACCAACAGATGTTGCTCCAGGATAAGATATTACCTTGCTCGCCCACCTTGTCTCGCTCCGATAAACAGACACTCAGCTGGAATTCTCAAAGGTGGCTAAAGGAATTGGACACCCTATGGAAATTCAGCGTTTATCTCTCTCAGGATTCTTTGAAAGTTTCAGCTTCAGGGACAGCGCTTGTCCATAAGCCAGTCGCCTCAGGGCCTTTTTCATCTCCTTGTTCCTCAGCACGTATATGAAAGGATTCAAAAGGGAGGTGAACATGATGTAGAACATGGCCACTGCCCCGTCGGATGTGTGACTCGAATAGGAGCGCACGTATACAAACAGCAGTGGGGCATAGAACAGCAGCACCAGGCTGAGGTGGGCGCTGCAGGTGGAGAAGGCCCGCAGCCTCCCCTGGGCTGTGCGGATCTTCAGGATGGCAGACGCGATGTAGGCGTAGGAAACGCTGATCAGCAGGAAGCAGCCAGCTGACACCGTCCCGATGTTGGCCAGAATGACGGCTCGGTTGGCGGCCGTGTCGGCGCAGGCCAGCTTCAGCATGGCGGGGATGTCGCAGATGAAGTATTCCACCCGGTTGGGGCCACAGTAGGGCAGGCGGAAGGTCAGAGTGGTGTGGATCGTGGCATGGAGCGAGCCGGTGAGCCAGGTGCCGGCTGCCAGCCCCACGCAGGCCCTTCTGCTCATCACCACGCTGTAACGCAGGGGGTGGCAGATGGCCAGGAAGCGGTCGTAGGCCATCACCGTGTAGAGGAAGCACTCGGTGCTGGCCAGGAAATGGAAGGCGTAGAGCTGCACCACGCAGCCGCCGAAGGAGATGGTCCTGCCGCTGGGCCCCGCCAAGCCAGCCAGGATCTTGGGCAGGGTGACGGAGGAGAGGCAGGCGTCAAGGAAGGAGAGGTGGCCGAGGAAGCAGTACATGGGCAGGGCGTGGAGTCGGGCATCGCAGAGCACAGTCAGCAGGGTGAGGGCGTTGCCCAGCAGGGTGAGCAAGTAGAGGAGGAGGAAGAGGAGGAAGAAGAGAGAGGAAATCTCCCTGGTGTTCGGGAATCCCTCCAGGATGAATTCTGTCACCGGCGTTTGGTTTCCTGGCTCCATCTGCTCCGCCCCTATGCAGAGCAACAACAGCTAGAACAGAGTGAATTATGCATCTCCTCCGGTATCTATCTAGACCCCATGACTGTTGCATCTCAGCACCTCAGATTTTTAAATGTATTTATCTTCACAACACCCCTCCGAGGGAGGGAATTAGCTTCCCCGTTTTTACAGCCAGTGATTGGAGGCACAGAAAAGCTCATAGACAAACAGGAACCCTGTGTCAGAGCAGGAGAGTTGAACTCAGGTTTCTCAAATCCACAGCTAATGACTTAACCGCTGGACCATCCTTCCTCTCATCTTGCCTCCTCTCACATCAATTGTGAACAATGTCCTGCTAGTGTAGACAGATAGTTTGATTATCAGTCTGTCCCCTTCTGACCAACCAATATAGTTAGATTATCTATCTATCCCCATCCACCCACTCTATCTATCTATCTATCTATCTATCTATCTATCTATCTATCTATCTATCTATCTATCTATCTATCTATCTATCATACAAGCCCATCTTGCTGTCTCTTGCACATCATCTATCTATCTATCTTGGTTCTTCTCTTGTCACCCGTCCCCAGCCTGTTGAATTCAGGGGAGGTGGGGTGCAGAGATGCCGAGTGTTACAAACCACTGAGCGATGCTGGAAGCTGACTGTTGGCCCCTATGTCTATTGCACGATTTCCGCTCAGATTCCAATGCCTGCCCATGCAGGAAAGTCAGCGTCCAGAGAGCCTGCACAGGTGCCAGGCTGCATGAAATCCGGGAGGACTGCACAAAGCAGGAAGGGTGGTAACCCCTCCTGATCAGGGAATGAGCTGACCCCAAACTAGAGAGGTTAGGGAGAAATGACCCACTAGAGGCAGGTGAACTCTTAGCTGCCCTCTGTACGGTGCCTCTTGTACCATCCTAGGAAGCAGCTGCCTGAGAGCAGAGCCTGGGCTGGAAGGAACCTTGGGTTCACCTGCTCTGGCAGTCCCTCTGTCCCTAAACCAAAGCACGTTCTCCGGCTCAGATGCACTCACCTCTCTCACGGTACAGGGATGAGGAACAGCCGCTTCATTGTCTCCGCTGTGGCAAAGTGCTTGACTCACCCAAGTATTTGAATGATACTTTTACCTTTGAGACCATTAGCTCCCAGGAGTGTGGGGAGCAATTGTCTGAAGCAAACATAGGCTAATCCTCGCCCTGGTCTCCTGTTCCCAGGCCCTGTCAGCAGGGGAGAGCAGGCGTCCCATCAGAATTCTTCGTTCAGAGTCTGACATTCACTACCAGGGCTGGAGCGTTGCTAGCTACATAGACTCATAGACTTTAAGGTCAGAAGGGACCATTATGATCATCTAGTCTGACCTCCAGGCCACAGAATCTCACCCACCCACTCCTGTAACAAACCCCTAACCTATGCCTGAGTTACTGAAGTCCTCAAATCGTGGTTTAAAGACCTCAAGGTGCAGAGAATCCTCCAGCAAGTGACCCGTGCCTCACGCTGCAGAGGAAGGTGAAAAACCTCTAGGGCCTCTGCCAATCTGCCCTGGAGGAAAATTCCTTCCCCACCCCAAATATGGCGATCAGCTAAACCCTGAGCATGTGGGCAAGACTCACCAGCCAGACACCCGGGAAATAATTCTCTGTAGTAACTCAGATCCTACCCCATGGAGATCATTTTAAGATGCCTCTGGCAGCTTCCAAGGTCACGGGAGTTTTCCTGGGACGAGTCTGCATCAAGCACGATCTAGTCACGTAAAACCAGAAGGGGATCACTCAGAGAGGCCAGGCCCTGTGGGGAGAATCCCAGCGCTGAGGTCGCAGAGGGGCTGTGGGAAGCCCATTGCTAGAGTTGCAGTGGGTAACCCCAGCTAGTGTAAATCCACCATAGCTCCATTGGAGTCAATGTGGTCAGAGCCCCATCCAGTGTAAATCAGCCACAGCTCCACTGAAGTCATCACAGCACCACTGAATTAGACCAGATGAGCATTTGGCCATGATAATACCCCCAGATAAATCATTCTTGCCTCATTTACCATCTGTGGGGCTGGGAAGGTGTGACAAAGTGGGGGGGGGTTCTTGTTTTTGGTGGGGTTTCAATGGTTTGCATGAGGAGGGGGTGGGACTCAGTTTCCCTGGGTGTTACTGGTTTAACGAGGTGAAGGGAGAGGTAGTGTGTTTTGCAGAAGACCGGAGAGAGGACATGGGGACCCAGCCGATGGCCGGGAGGATGGATACCCCAGCGACCGGTGACCTGGCGACCTGGTGACCCAGAGGCCCAGCTGAGGAGACGCAGCCGGTTCTGGCCAGTGGGAGGACAATGGGCTGCAGAGTGAGGACCCAGTGACCTAACCAGCCGGTTCCAGCCAGAGGACAGAAGCGAGGAGAGGAGGCCCCGGTTTACGACCCTGTTTCCCTGGAGAGAAGACAATGGACAGAGGCGGGGCCTGGGGCCGGTGATCTCAGATGCCCAGCTGGGAGCAGGGGGGCTCTGGGCTGGAGATGGGGAGCAGGCAGAGCCCGCCTGGATGCAGGGAGACTGGGATGTGCTGGGCTGAGGGAGGCCAGGCCTGAGGCCCTGAGAGTTTCCTGTGCTGTGTTCAACTCTCAATAAACCCTCCTGTTTTATGCTGGCTGAGAGTCACTCCGGTCTAGAGAACAGGGTGGCATCAACCCCTTTGGGGGTGGAGGCCCGGGGGTCCAGAGCAAGTGGACTCCCTGAGGGGGCCCATGGCAGAGACAGATGTGCTAAGGCTCAAAGAGGTGCGGCTCCAGGAGGTGGAGGGGCCTGACCCCGAGAGAGAGTGGACCCCCGAGAAGGGCTGTCGCACTGAAAGGGGCATCCCCCACGGACCGCACGGGGCCAAGAGTGGGCCCGATCTGTGAGTCCGTGACAGAAGGAATTTCCCCCAGGTCAGATTGGCAGTGACCGTGAGGTTTTCTTGCCTTCCTCTGCAGTAGGGGTGGGGGACACGGGGGGCAGTCACTTGCCAGGATCATCTGGGTACGTCTCACTAAATCAATTCCCTGCCAGTGCAGGGCTCTCCTGTGATGGTGCAGCTCGGTCCCTCCTGTTCTCTGCCTGGGGCCCAGAACAGTTTTGTTTGCTGAGGGCTGTAACGCCTGGCTCTAATTTCATGTGTTGGGTTTAGTGGGAGGATGATGGGTGGTGATGGTGGCCTGTGAGATACAGACAGGCCGACTGCCCTAAACTATTCATTTTAGGTCATCTTCTGCCTGGACAGCATGTTACTGGTGGTTTGTACAGAGAGACAGTGTGTGTGTGAGAGAGAGAGAGACAGCCAGACTGAAGGGTTAAAATTCATGTGCATTTCATATAACAACCTGGTATATGGATTGTGTTAGCTCTTTTACAGGTCCAAAGTCCAGAGTTTGGTTAAGAGACCAGAGGCCTAGCATACAGTAATTAGCTAAAAGAAGCAGAATAAACGAAGATAACCTTGCTTGCTAAGATAGGTCTGGTCAGCAGGGCCGGCTCTGGCTTTTTTGCTGCCCCAGGCAAAAAAGCCTCCTGCTGCCCCCCCGCCCCCAGGGGGTTGGGGGGCAGGAGTGGTGCAGGGTGCAGGCAGGGGGCTCAGGGCAGGGAGTTGGGGTGTA